CTCGCCTGGCACGTGCTTTGCATCCCTCGCAGCCGCATCGGTTCTCTGAGTGCAGGCTAGGTTACGAGCCATGGCCACGCTTCCTGAGAATCTTGTGGCTCAGATTGTCCACTACGTCTCTGGGCGCTCGCTGCATGTGCTCTTCTGTGCCCCACCATCGGATGCCACTCGGCAATTGTTGTCCACAATCGACCCGCATGAGCGACGGGCAGCTGGCCTGGCTCTTCGACAGCAGTTTGCTGAGTATCAGGACCGGGTCTCTGCCTTCTTGGCGCAGCGCACCTTCCGAGGAGTCTGGGTTGCGACCAACTTCCAGTTGATCGTACGACTTGGCTTTCAGGTGCGCGCCACCATTCTACAAATCGATCTCGAGGCCTTAATGGTGCTGGCTCCGGTGTCGCGACATATCTGTCGGATTGTCCTCGCACTATACGAAGGCACTGATTTCTTTCGCGCCGAGGACATACGGTCGGCCTTAACAGCAATGCAACCCTGGGCTGAGGGATGGCCTGGTCTGGCGAGACGGCTTTACTTTCCCATGGAGCCCTTGGGGTGAGCTGCTCTCCGCTCCAGGCTTCCATCCTACTTGGCCGGGCTTCCTCCAGCTCCGATTAGCCCCTGCCCTTGCGAGGCTGGGCTTGGGTGCATTTATTGAGCAGGTCAGGGTCGAACATGTCTTTATATAGTGAATATAGTGTGGTGTTCGGCGTGGTCGCTGCCTGTTTTTTCTCTGCCCTTGCGATACCCACGATTGGGAAGCTGGGCTGGGAACGCGTGGCGTCCTACAAGCTGCTGATTGCCCAGTATGGCCCCTGTCCATTGCTACCTGTTTGCTGTCATAGTGCAAAAATCAGAGTGTCTGCCCTTGCGAGGCCCACACTGGTGGGAAGCTGGGCTTGAATTAAAGGTGCTCATGCACTTGCCACTGCGGCACGCTCTTCGCTTCTGTATGGGTGCTTGGGCGCATTCTTCCACACCAAGTGCCTCTCCGTTTTGCCCTTGCGAGGCCCTCTTTGGGAAGCTGGGCTAAGTGCAAAAAACGGCCGGGATGGGTGTGTTGTATTGTCCGACTCTTTTTGGATGCTGGGCAATATGTGTGCCATTGCGCGACTCAGTCCAACTGGGAAGCGGGGCATCTGAGCGGTGGTAGTTGCTAGCTGCTAGGTGCCGGGCATGTCTTGCCGAACGACGTCTGCCGGCTAAGTCTGCTAGTCGCGGCCCGTCTCACCCTGTTATGCGTAGTTTTCTGTTTTGTATAGTTGTTGTTGTTATTGGCATTATTGTAGTTCTTACTGGGACCGAGTGCAGCAACTGCTGTCTTTGAGGCCCGCCCACGCCAAACAAATCAGAGAGCGGGAGGTGTTTGAAGTCTTTTTTGTTTGTTGGAGAACTTTCAGTCTTGGTCCAGTTCTGAATTGCTCGCTTTCACCCCTCTTGGCAGTGTTTTCGCAAAGCTTTCTTGTTCGCTGGAGACGATGTTTCAGATCCATTACTCATATTTCTTTGCTTTAACACCCCGAAGCGTTTTCGTGTGGCTCTCTTCTTACGTAGAAATGAAAGACGTTTTTCTGAGGTTTTCGCGGCTTCAAAAAACGAAAAGGGCCAGATCCACGCATTGCAGGCTTGTGCCACCGACCCTGCAAATGCGCCATGCGCTCGCAAATGTCCGCAGTATCACCCAATCGGCATTGTTTGGAAGCAGCCATGATGGAATTCTGGCTTTTCAGCTGTTGCCAACTGATATTCTGCAACGCCTTGAGTGCGGCCTGCTGTATTGTCTGTGGCAAGTTAGGGCCCGAGACGTGAGTTTAATGTGTATGCTTAGAAGAACCAAAACCCAAGCCAGTATTATTAATGAGAGAATTAGACCCAAGGGCCAAGTTAACGACTTCAATGAATCATTGAAAAAATTCAAACCATTTCTTTTAATCATAACTTCCCTATCTAAACGAATGTTAATGAAATGAAGTCGATTTTTTGCGAGAAATCACGTAGGAATCCCTTAATCCAACACCCAAGGGCTTGAGCTAGGCTACCCCTTGTGTTTTGCTTGTACAGTTTACGCTTCAACCACTGCGCACCGCAGCCCTTTTGAGGTTCCGAAAAGAGGCGTGCCTGCCTTGAGCCCAGTAGGCAGCCGTAGGTAGGAACCCGGCCTTTGAGGCTTCGCATGGTAGCGGAGCTCTGCTGAGCACAGGACCAGCAACTCCGGACAGCGGGCAGCCCCGCGAGTTCCTCATTCGAGGTTCTCGTGGCTGGCTGCGGGTCACCGCGGGACCTGAAAAACCCGGTATCTGAGCGCTAGTGGAGGCTGAGCGCGGGTAGTCCCGCCCAGAGCGAGGACTTCCTCCTTCCGGCACCCGGGCCGAGAAACCGGGAAGGGAGCCGCAGCTGTTTGCGCGGCCCCTCCATTTTTAGGTTTTACCCGCCACGCGCGGGTGGAACCGCCCTTCTTAGTCGCAACGTCCCGCTGGGGACGCGACCAAGAAGGTTGGAATCGAGAGCATTGGTCTCGGCAGAACTGGTGGGACGAACCCACCGAGGAAAGCCAGCACTGGGAGGACTGGCAAGAGCAAGCCTGGGAGCAGGACCAGGCAGAAGCTCCTGACGATCCGTGGCGGGATTGGAACGGAGTAGAGGACTGGAACCGCAGAGAAGCGGCCAGCAGTAGCGGGGGGAACCGCTGGACCGCCGAGGCGGCGT